CCTCGTCCGTGGAAGAGGAAATGGTGAGCCAAGGTCCCTGGGTGATTTTTTTTTTTTTTTTTGAGACAGGGTCTCATTCTATCACCCAGGCTGGAGTGCAGTGGCATCATCTCAGCTCAGTGCAACCTCTGCCTCCCGGGTTCTTCTCATGCCTCAGCTTCCTGAGTAGCTGGGATGACAGGAACACACCACGACAGCCAGCTCATTTTTGTATTTTTAGTAAAGACGGGGTTTCCCCATGTTGGCCAGACTGATCTTGAACTCCTGACCTCAGGTGATGCTCCTGCCTCGGCCTCCCAAAGTGCTGGGATTACAGGTGTGAGCCACCTTGCCTGGCCAACCCCTCCAGGTGATTAATAACAAGAGCCCAGATCTCGGGAACCTGAGCTCTCCCACGTGTCTCCCAGGATGCTGTAAACCACACGCTGAGCTCCTGTCCCGGCTGCCCCAGCCCCCGCGGGCCCCAGTGCTTACCTTTGGTCCACTCATAGGTGAAGGTGGGGTCCGGCGTCTGCACAGCTGTGTCCTTCACAAGCACCCTTGTCACGTGCCTGCCTGACTTTTTCCTAGCCTCGGCTGTTTGTGGAAGGTCTGTCTTCACACTTGAAGAGGATTCAGACAGAGCGTCCAGTGTTCTGTCAAGAGACTCCTTGGAACGGGCCGTTGGCTCAGATGCCGTCAGACTTGGAGAGTTTTCAAAATCCTCAGAATAAGCTGAGCTGACTGTGTTCACCACAGGGGCTTCAGATGGTGGCTGCATGCTGGCAATGCTGTCCTGCTGGATGGCAGGAGCCGAGCTGGCACTGAGATGCTCCGAGACCTCACTCTCATCCCCCTCTGCAGAGGCAGCCTTTCCCTGTGATGCCCAGCTCCTCGCCTGGGCCTGCCTGGGGGCATCCGGCCCAGCAGACACCTCGGCTCTGAAGATTTTGCCAGCTGTTTTCTCTCTCTGAGCACTTTCCTCCTAAAATGAGGAATGGCAGAGGTGGCTGGGAAGCGAGTTTTGTTTTTTGTTTTTTTTTTTTTGAGATGGAGTCTCGCTCTGTTGCCCAGGCTGGAGTGCAGTGGCCGGATCTCAGCTCACTGCAAGCTCCGCCTCCCAGGTTCACGCCATTCTCC